ATCGCGTGCAGCATAAAGTAGCGCTAGAAGGGAGAAGTTCTGGTAAGCGTCGACTGATGGGATGTGTGCTACAGTATCTTAACGCGAGTCACGACAATCCACCCGTCAATCGTCACACGCGTTGCATCACTCTGATCATTCTGAATAGATGGATGGTCCGTGAGTGACTTGCGCTGCGTGAAATACTTCAGTGGTTACCTTTGAAACTGAAGCCAGTAAACCTGCGAGGGCATGATCCCATATATTCGTCCCCACAAGGAATGTACCATCCAAGTTTTAAAATTATTACTAGAAAGTGATCGAACAACACTCGGTCACTCCAATCATAAGCTGTCAAGCTTGTCAATAGTAGTGAAAGGTCCTCACAGTAGTTTCTCGACAATATCGGTGAATCTGGGATGGCCCTACTATCGTGTATCAAATCCCAGATCACCAGAGCAATCAGTCCTGCAGCATCCCAGAATTTCTGCATAACACTCAGTCCTGAGGTCACATTCTGACTAGCCCTTTATCTCAGTAGATTAGTCTGCCGAAGGAACTTCTTGCTATGGATATCATAGATTTGAAACGCTCTTTCTAACTTCATAGTTTCGCCTACACCCACTGCCGTTCAAATAAGTGGTTTGACAAGTACTTTGAGCTTTTACGTCAAACCACGTATGGTATTCAATACCGGCAGCTTGACTACTCGCGTGCTACTACCACTACAACTGCTTTTGGCAAATCTCTATAAGCTGCGTGGTAATCCTATGGAGGCCTTCAAACACAGGCCTGTCACAACCTTCGACCACTGGCACCCTATTAAAGTATTGAAGAAATGCAAATGTTTGGTACAGCATCACATTTATAATAGCGTGACACTAATTGTGGTTTATTCACGTGCATCTATCCTTCCGACGATATCACACAACCGCGCTGGAACGTCACCCTCTCCGTCTGCATGCACTGGTGCGTCAACGGCTAATTAGCAAAATGGTAAGGTCGACATCAGCACCAAATTACGGTTATTGACCGAAGGCAGAGCGGAAGTAGGATCCTAAAAATTTGACTACAACCTAACCTAACGACCCAAGAATGTACACTCCACGAATTAGTCACCTCTACAGTAACAAACAGAAACATACGGTCTTTGTGACGGAATAAAACCATGGATGACAAACATTGAGTAAATGATACTATGGCGTGGCAAACGATAGAAATACCGTTTGCGCGAACCCAAAACAAACGATGGGCGGGGGTACCGTTCTAGGAAATGGCCGTTTAAGAGTGGCTGGTTTTGCGAGTGTGGTAGATCAGACGGCCGAAATGAGCTTTCTTCGCATCACCAAAGACTGTAACATTTTGATAGGTTCTCCTGCTGATGGGGAAATTTGCTCAAAAAACGCCAGAAGACAAGGGGCAATGTCGTCCAAGTAGACAGAGGCATACAATTACAACCCGATTCCAGCCTTCAAGAGGATATTTGTAGCCTTCTGTCTGATCTAATTTCGAACATGATATAAAAATATTCAAAAATTAACGATGTCACGGGTGAAGAACACACCACAACGTGCTAGACGATTAATCTATCTGAAGGTCTAAAAGAATGCACCTTCGAAAACACCATCCCCACGCCCATTGTTGATCTGCACGCTTACAAGCAAACAAAGCCCTCTCAGACTGGACGCAAAATCATTTGACCATATGCTTGCGTCTTAAGACTAGGTGGACAGATTCAGCTGAGTTTGTCCAGTTACCTTGACCACGAGCCAGGGAACTGGCTATTTTTATACCAAATTGAGGATGAATGTAGCTCAAAAGCATTCATCCAGTAGCAGGGCTGGATGACAGTCCAATGGCTGGACTGGACTGCACGCAGGGTATAAGCGTGCACCCTCACCATCTGTGCTTGATCCAGAACAGGTGCCAGTTGTATGCCGATATGCCGCCGTGGATGCAGATAACGAAGATACGTATTCAGTAGTTAAATTATTTGCTTTTGGCCTCAAGATATACGTGCTCCCACTGGACCCGAAGAGTACGTGCTCTCCTGTTTCATCCTGGCTAGACCAGCCGCCTCGTAGTTCACGGCCGAGGATCGGATATTATTCAGCCAAATTGGGATAACTCAATTCAAACACCGTGACGGTGCAGCTCTATCTTTGCTCTCAGGACCTTACTTTCATGCGAGAATATTGTTTGTCCTACACTCGGAAAGGCATGCGAATCACGTTCTTGGGTCTGGCCTCTTATATTGCAGACCACTCATTGAACAACGTGGGATTAGTGCAACCGACTGTATTGTTCCTAGGTCACCTACTCCTGCGGTTGAAGTCCGAACGGTGTGGTTCACCGTACACATCGCTATGCATGCAGGGAACTTTTCCTAGCATCTCTGTTCACCCCAAAGGTAGAAAATTCTGCACGCTTCACATTAACACTCAAATCAAAAGATGTCACGGTGGTGTAGTTGTCGGTTGACTATAGACCGCGTTGGAGAATTTAAGCTTCCTAAGCTGAAGACTCGCCAAAGAAGTTGAAGTGAAACAAAGAAGTTCCAGTGGCCATTTGTGTATTTTTACAGAGAACCGAATCCGGTGGGAGGGAAATTTGCATCACATCCACTCAAGCTATTGAAAACGCCCAACTAGTCTGGATTTTGGTTAAAGAAAAGCACGCAATATCAAGCACAATTTTCAAAAAGAGAAACCCAATAGCACGTTTCATTCTGGATAGGAATCATCAGCAACATGCATTTATGAGCCTCCGAAGAGTTTCGAGCCCGCGACCTCTCGGCTAGCTGTTGAAGAATAAACCGGATGCAGAGTTGAACACTGTCCAAATGAGGGTTAATCACACTACTTACCAGCCGCTCATGGCTGAATGATATAGTCCTCAATCACCAGTCAGAAGGCTGTGACTTCAAATCCCCGAGGATTCGTGAGATACGCACCGCTGAGGATATCCATCCAGTACACATAAAACTGTCGTATAAGGTTTCCCGGACGCAAGCTCTGTTGAAATTTACAAATCGCCCCATACTACCAACAAACCATGACATTTGTCAAGGTTGGTTCCATTAATTTCAATTGTACTTACTTTGCAAAGTCTCGTATGACATTATTTCCGGGCCACAAGCTAGACGCGTCCTATTAGTTGGGCAAAACTTCGGCAAGAGGTAAGCCATGTCTTAAAAATCATCAACTGAACATTCAAAATACCCTTCACGACACCACCACTTGCAAGTCCGTAACGAGAACAAGCGTTAGTGTTCCCGAATCAGTCACAGTCCCATACCTCAACCCTGAACTCCAATTTACAAAAGGGACGCCTGCTATTCAACCAGTGGCACTTTTGTGATAAGCATTCTTTCCAATATTCGGTACAATTCAGTAGTGAGGTCCACACTGCAGGTGAGTAATGCGACCGTTCACGTGGGTCAACTGAGGGACAGTACGCGGATCATGATTGTTGGAGTTATCCGAAAAAGCTTGACCAGAATGAGTAACAAATGCTTCACGGGGAAATCGGACCGTTGAAAGCGTTTTGCAAATGCTCATCATCTGGTGACTGATTTTCAAAACTGGCTGTCATCTTTCTAGCTTGCGTTTTGCTATCCCACAGTATTATCAAACTTGAAAGTTGTGTGATTTTGCAGAGCAAGAACTTGGTAGGACAAGTGTCGAGACACCTAGGTAAGGTAATGAGGGCGCTCAAAACAATCGGAGGAAAAATTGAGAATATGAAAATCCTACAGTGGGTTGCTGTTTCAATCACAGGTGACAACAGCATTTTTACCGTCAATTCAACCGTACTATGATTGTGTTACACAAACCCACATGCATTACCACACATTGGCTAACAAGTACGCTTTTTTAGTTATGCCAGTGAGAGTGAATTGAAGAGCTTTCGACGACAGGAATTCAACAAAACGAGGTCACCAAACACATTCCATCACTGACCCACATATGCGTCATTCTAGCCTCCACTGAATCAAAAATAGGTCAACATCGACTGATGTTTTTTCCTCAAATCTGGAGGTTCAAAAAATTTAACACCACCCGTGAGGTCCACCGCGAAAAACTCTGGAAAGGTACTAAAACCAAGGAAGCGTGTACAGAAAAGGAGAGGACGGATGAATGATGCATACCGTAAGTGTAACTTGAGAACAGGACTTGACTCAACAGAACGACAAGGACGTGAGAAGTGCTAAAAACGGACCGTTGAACATAAGAAAGTACACAGGGAAACAGGTGGTCGAACCCCTAATCATCAGTCATCGAGCATTGATATCTTTGAGGGTCATATTCAATCAACAGGTGGAACCAAAGGCTTCCGGCGGCCAGTCGTACAGTTCTGGAGTCAAATCAACATAATCCGGCTCATACATGTTGTGCAGCAGATACTGACGCAAGTCTTTGGGTTTTGGATACAGCTGACAAATATCATGCTGGTAGGCGGATGCAGCAACAGATTCGGCGATTCTCAGAGACACTTCTCGGATGTTGCACAGAGGAGGGAACACTCGTCCCTGCTGGAGATCAACCTCAGTGACCTGCTCTGCTAGACTCTGAATAGGAGAAACATAGGGGAAACGGATAATGGATCTTTCATCAGAACAATTAGAAAAGGATATCGCACCTAATTAGTGCATCAATGTCAACCAAGAAAAAAACCGATTAGATAAATCTAGTTAATATTTAGGAGAACGACTCATCCAGTTGCGCATTGACCACTAACTGTTCTGGCCAGCATGACTCGTTAACATAAGCCCTCCCAACGCGTGGGCTCACGGCTAACTAGTGCAATTTGACCTTGGATCTACATGAATCATGAAGCCAAAATTTAAGGCCGTCATGCCTTCTAGGGCGCACTACCTTGTTCCGACGACGGTTCAGTGGGTGCGCAACCAGCAATTCACTTCTCCTCAAGACTACATACGTACATGCGTATTACATACGTATTAATCCATCCTCTCCAGAGGACTAACAAGTTCAGTAGTATCGAACAACGATAGCACAGAAACTCCTTGTAGCTGGCTAGCATTTAGATGAACACTGAATTCAAGGCTAACAAGTCCGATACAACCAAATGATCACTCGATACCGACGTCAGCGACTGTTGCTGATGCTAAAAATGCATATCGGCAGACAATGAGTACAACGACGCAACCAGGGCCATCAGACGCTAAAGGAAAATAAAACCAAGTAAAGACCAAGATCTCTGGGGAACAGCAAAATGCTAACAGCTAGAAAACTTTCACCATCGGAAATGGCCGTATCGTGTATCACCCGCAGAGGAGTGAAACTGTCAAAAAACGATCAGTGAGATGGATGGTTCTGTAAATGGTACACATCAATTTCTTATGGAAAGATGGATAAAATGCGTTGAAAAACAGTTTGACACTCTTAGAGCAGTTGTCGAAGATTGTGCATATGATTGACCTGGGTGTAGGTTTCAAGCGCGAGGAAAAGATAAAGCAGTGAATATGCTGTTTGGAGCGTTGAAAACACCAAGTCTTGGTGGATTGTGCCTATCCCGCTCCAAGGAAGACGGTGGAGCTCAAGTAACCCACCTGACAGAAAATTTCCATTTAGTAAGGAGTGGACGGAAAGTACCGTCTAGTCAGTGATTCTGCTCGCGAACCGTGTACCGAAGTTCGGTAGTTCCAATTGCTAAAGCTTCGTTCACTAAGAACAAGTAGGAAACGGGAGCCAAGCGATGACCCAACCTGTGCATTGAGGACAAGCAGATGTTTATCCAATATACCATGAAGTGAGAGCTACGCAGTGAGGGCGATAGCTTTGGGACAACACCGCCACTGGCTGCATTACAGTCACATAAGGGGAGACGGTAGTTATCAACGCGGCCGATTTGACTGGTAAAGATTTTCATGCTTCATTGTCAATTCATGAACTGACCGCACAACTGGTGTGATTTTCCCACCACACTCGCACAGTGATTCGGAGGCGCCGATGGTGAAACACAAAGAGCCTTTGAAGGTCTTCCACAATGGCCCGGTCTCTGATCCATAGAGCAGAACAGTTTGGACCACGGCGTCGTAAACTCTACCCTCCAAATGAGATGTGCTCAATACTTGTCCCCAAAAGATGTGAACACCGTACAAAATACATTGTTGAATCAGCCCGATAACTATCGCATCCAAGGTGCTTCATAGCCTTTATTGAAGGCAGGTTGACTAACCACCGGATGAAACAGGTCTGTGGAACCAAGTTAAGTACTCCAAAGTTTTCCACACTAAAATTCCAGAGATGCTGGAACGGCGACATGCTCCAATTTACTACCTCTAATTGTTTTTCTTGACTTGAAAGTTGCCTTAAACTGAGTTGATCTCCTGGCACTGAAATTCTGACGGAAGGTAATCGTTTCAGATGGTCCACTAAAACGGAACTGCTTGTACATTGGTCCTTCGAAAGCGCCGACTTAACACAAAAAGTAACAACGTAAATTTACTCGGAGGGGCCCAGTTTTCGTTAATTTCCACCTTGGTGGTAAACGCTACGGCATATCCAAATCAACCACCTACTCGAGGGATCCTTGGGTTGGGGGTGACAGACCGAGGTTCTACAACAAAACAAAATTATCGCACCAGGTTTCCACAATACATCGATATTTTCTGAACTCCTTTAGAGATGAAGAAGTGGTGAAAGGATGCATATCCAACAACACCACATTGGACCCATGTCAGGCACCTTGTCCAAGGTTGATGACCTTGAAGCAACCAATAGTGTGAGTCTGATTGATTAGAGAATTCCCAAAGAATGGTCAATACGTAGTTCTGATTAGAAGTCATACCTGTTTTCAGTTGCTATTCCAATAACGCGCAACAGCCGGAGGAAATCACTTAACATAAAAATATCTACGAATGCGAACATTCACAACGAAATTATCACCTCTTTGACACCAGGGCCCACAATACACATTTTCATAATTAGAACAAAGGACAATTTTCATAGTAACGGCACGGCCCGTTTATATGCATTCAAGCGTCTTTTCGGTAGGTAAAATCAGTTGTAGACTCGAGTCCTTGTATACCATTCAACCACATAACGAGCTTAAAAGTGCAGATTGTATTCGAAAGATTCCTTCTAACAAATCAACGCAATCGGCGGCGTCACGTCAAGGAATGGTTTCCAAACATCAGTCTACCATCTGTTAGCACAGCGACAACCACAACACTAACCATCAACAACAAATAGTTCAGAGGAAGAATAATTCCAACTGAGAAGTCGTCACTCAAGGGCCCATCCAACCCATAGCCACATGATGTGGATAACGTGAATGGAGGGGCAGTGGCGCTATATTCTAAATGCGAGCTAATCACACCGCTGACCAGCTGCTCATCGTTAAGTGTTCCAACACTAGCCGGGAGGTTGCCGACTTTTCAGCATAGACTGGTTTCACTTACAGAACGAAATCTTGATTGAAAACTCCCGGATCTCCTCTTCCCTTTGCATACTTTTCAAGTCTATAGTGAACGTGAACTCCACACTCGCGAGTGTAGCCTAAAGAGTTGTATAGGCCCTCAGTCTGGTGCTTCACAAAATACGAACCGATGAAAAACGTCTTCTTGGTCATTCAACTCTTTTGGTCTTCTCTTGTGGTGCCCATTTACGTGGATTATTGCTTCTTCGGGGGTTGTGGTAAACCACGCCTAGTAAAGAAAGTTGTTGGACGACTCAATCAGAAGCTAATGTGGCAGGCGAAGCAAAAGTCATCAATTCCGTTAGATTTTCTCAAGTCTCTCGGTGCGATAACACGTAAAAATAATTGCTCGTGTTGTCAACTAAAATCCATACCCGTCAGGTTTATGCGGCATGAATATCATTATTTGACACTTGCTCTTCAGTGGTTTGCACACTTTACCATGAAGTTTTCGAAAATAGGCTTCATGCGAACCAGCTGCCCGTTCCTTTCTCCAAACTTTATTGAAACAAATAATTTCTCGTCTTGTAAAAAAACGATGTGAAATCACCCTCCCGAAGAAGATTCAGCCAAAGATCTTATTCTACAAGAATCTAACAGAGCGACCTTTTCCGCATTACCGTCATCCATGCTGTGAATCGATGAATGACTTGAGTGTGACAAAGAAAAACCGAATTTGTCTGCTCCAGAATGTTGCAGCAGTGTCTGCAGCGCTGTCCCACTTATGAACAGATAGGAGTGACTGGATGTGTACACCAGGTTTCATCTTCAAAATGTTGATAACAGAGGCTCGTTCCGTTGAATTCAGTGGGAAAGGCTGAATGTACCAGCTTGTAATTGGAAGCTGGCGGGAATATTTTCGAAAAAAGGTAGTTACAAGGTTACTCGGTTGCAATAAAAAACGAACATTTCAGCTTAATTAGAGGCGCTGCTGAAGGTCACAGATGACCTTAAGATTACTGTATGACCGGTTCCATTGTTTTACTGTGTAAACGTAAGACGAATTATTTTCAGGTGGATGAAGAACCGAAATAATTAAGAAAAGTCAGCTACGTCCAAAGAGGCGATTTTAACAGATGCGGGACTGCAGATTGGTCGGTTTGGATCACTTTTGCAAGCCAACGTTAGGGCCAAAACAACATCAGCTGTCCAAGCTTCCCTCGTGGCACGATATGCATGTGCAATCACCCCGAACTCGGGCCCATAGTTGGCCTATCCAACGGGTTAGGATGGTCCATCCAAACAGACAAGCACACGACATCCCGTCAATGACATTTTGCTTGAAAACCTGTAAGGGTTTTCCCACGCAGAGACGGCATGCCAGGATCTGGATAGCACAGTGCTGACCAACAGTAGAATTTCACCGTATTTTTGGAAAATTAATGGTGTAGTGGGGTTTAGCTTCAAGGAACATGCAAGGTTGCGTCGGAAAATTAGAACAAAACTTGCTAGAAGTCATGAAGTCTTTTGTGCAAAAATGCAGTGACCCAGTATATACCCTTATCTACATTTTGACTTTGGCAAGAACTGACAATGCGGTCGTTCTAGGGTAAAATAACTTTTAAAAAATTCTGCCTCACGGTTTGGTGCACGCCCTCAAGGGGTCGGTACAAGACTTGGTAAGATGAAATTCGAAACCCAGGCTTGCGAATGAGTCAAGCAAGGTGATAGAAAAATTCGTCTATTTGGGTGGCTAAAAAACCATTGCCATCCGGTTTTTGCGAAACCATGGGATCTGTGGCATGCAAGAGACGTCAGTTAGTTTATTCAAAGTTGGATTTTTAATGATGTAACGCGCCCATGGGTTAAGAACCAAGCCAATGTAAGCTAAAGTCATTGAAAAATCTATGTTGCTTATCAGTGTTTTCGCAGCACCGGCAGAGTGTAGTAGGAATACCAGGTCACCACTTTTGAGTTACACCAAATGAATTTGGAGGCGGCAGCTCATGCGTGAGAGATAAGCTGAGATGGTCGATGAGCCCTGTACACACAGCCATGCGCACGATATAGCTCTACATGAGGTCAGACTGTGACACGATGGTGAAGTTTGAAGGCCACCACCAGAAAACTCAGTTGCATTGGTGCCTGCTGCCTTACAGGATGGGCAGTCCGAAACTGAAAATAACTGTGTTTAGAGACACTGCAAACATCACCTGGTCAAGTGCACAACGGTGTGCATACATCCAAGCTAGCACCTACAACGGATGACACTACCTACCGATCCTCGCACCTCGAAAGATACAAGCTGCTATCTTTAACGTGTAGCCGTCCCCGACCATTTCTGCGCATCATTAGTGAATGAAGATATATCAGACAGAGCCATCGTGAAACAGTTACACGGTCCGCTGTTTCTGATAATAGTTTCTATGTATGAGTTGAACTTTTTTCCACCCTCGATTCGAAAGACAACATAAAAAACGAGTTAAGTGCACACTGCGAGGCAAAATCACTAAGCTAAAAAAGGGACTAAGATGGAAACAATGAGAGTCCGTTATGTAATCATAGAGGTAGGCGAATTCATTGATTTCCATGAATTGCATGCAAGATGAACGGACAAATGAAGCTGACAGTGAAATGTATAAAGAAAGACAAGGACAACATCGCAACTTCAGGGGTTTTGCAATACAGCTAGACACACGAACACCGGTCAGAGAGTGAAATAAAAGTGGAAAAACGGGAGGAAACAAGAAAACCCCCAACACTCACATAAAACATGTAAGGCACGTGCTAGTTAGATGCCTGTAATGAAAGTAACGCGAAAACAAACTCTCGCATGACAGATAATAAACAGCCCAGCATACAAAGCGACAAGCTGAAGTGATGACGCATGGAGCATAGGGCAAAAGAAGTCCCATACTGTAAGTAAGTTAAGACGTGAATGAAAACCTAGTTGCTAACGTAACGAACCATAGTCATGAACTGCAACTGTAAATGGGAGAAATCACCGAGTATCGAGTGAGAGGGGTTTTGGGTTGCCCCACCTTGAAAGATGAGATTGGTATAAGGGAAGGCTTAGAACCATCCGATTAGCCTGCATGTTTTGCAGACGCTGGATCTGAGGCGATTGTCTGCGACACTTCCAATCGATCAATGCAACCAAACGCGTAGTGAGCTGCCTCGAAAAACGTAACGGGTGATGGTAACCTCTGTTTTTCTTTCAATTCTTGTTAAGTGATTATTGCTGTAAAATATCGAAGTAACACGCAGAAAACAGTACATGTTCACTACCTCCTGCTTTTGAAAACCGACCCCACGAAAGCAGTTTTTCGAATGCTACTGAGCTATACCCTAGGCACTTGACCGATAATGTGACGGACCCGTAGGCCTAATGATGAGTGCGGCACAAGGCTGAAAAAGGGAACCCACACCCATTTTCGATCATTATCGATGTGTGCCGGACGGCTGTATGATCAGCCTGGAGTTTTCATGCTGGTTTACGCTGCAACTATTTCATTACATTGCACCTGTTCAACATAGCTCACTTGCGCACATGAAGTACACCCACACGATACGCACATGGGCGCCCAAACCGAATCTCCTAACTGAACGTGAAGATCTGTTTACGCCTTGGCAGCTCACCTGTCGCATATACGCTCACGCGCAACTAGACCAGCAAAGACGTTGTGAAGTGGTGTGGTAACGAGAGTGCCGGACACATTGGACCAGTTTGAAAATCTCTCAGATGAGCAACCGTTCATTCGTGGTGCAAGTCTGGAATAATCTCCTGGCTTGTATTCGCAGAAGTTGAAACAAAAACATACTCTGAACAAGGGTTAAATGGAAAGAAAGGGCATAGAAGCGTTTACCTGAGCCGCTCGAATGAAGAGAGTATTGGAGATCGGTCGAATATGACATGCAGTGATGGCCAAGCCGATTCCGGGGAAAATGTAGGCATTGTTGCACTGACCGGGCATGAAGGTCTGCTTCACACCACCAACTTCCATTTCGACGGGATCGAATGGAGATCCACTGGCGAATACGCAACGGCCCTGTTTCCCATAGAGGGAAAATAGGAAGAAGTGCATATGAACCTTATTCGTTTCATTCTTATAGCATGGAATAAAGACCTTCACAGAGATAAAATTTCGGTTCACGACTTTTCCTCGAAGCAATAGGAATCGGAATTGATACCTAAAAAGACAACCGAAAATCTTTCACATTAACAGACAGATCCTTAAGTTGGGCATAAATTAGAGTAAACTGTTTAATCTACATATTAACAGGACTGGACGAGGGCTGTTGTTCCACCGGCGATCTAAACAATCCCTAATTGGGGTATAAGACGTGACTTGATGTAATATTTGCATTCGGGGTTGACAAAAGTGGTCGGTGAAGAGATTCGAACTCATGAAGACCAGACGGAGACTGGTCAGTCCTTGATAGCTATAAAAGCAAGTTCGTGAGACCGTCAGAACAGTCGCCACAGATAGTATCGTGCCAAAGAAAGTTACTGTCGATCTTATGCGCTGAATAACTGAAAACATAATTAAAATAGTGTTTGTGGCTCCTCCTATACTCTTTTGGGACTTCTTTTTGCTGAACAGGAAATTTTCAAGATGATTTCATAAAGTTGTACACCGAAAGGAAATCGGTGTTGCTATCAACGATGGATAGAAAGTCGACGTTCCTAGAAGTGGGTTTTAGTGATGTTCTGTTCATCAGCTGATGTGTAAAAACCCCGAAGGCACCCGACAAAATGTGACACAGCAACTTCTGCTTAACTGAATACATATTACCCATGGGATGAACGGATTTACCATTGAATCACTGGACGCCTGTCCATAGCTCGTCTGGCATTATTTACTGAAGTTAACTGATGTAGACACACGAACATACTGAATTGTATGGGTTGCTGTTAACTTGTAAAATTCTATTGACCTCAACTTGTCGGGGTTTCTTGCTGTTTCACCAAAACGCATGACTGTCATCTTCGAAGCAACTACGATGACAGGGTTGAGCAGCAAGTGCTACCCTGAATTCCACGTCAACTTAGACTATTTCACCACCGTTCTCACAAACTGCGTTACTTTGCACTACGAACATACGGATGAGTACCAAAATCAAGCCGATTAGTAAGGATAACCGGTCAAAGTAGAAAGTAGAGTCGCAAGAAAGTCTGCTAAGTGGAATCAGTGTGGAGCGGCACCCATAGCGCTCGAATGGCAGAAACTAAGATTTACCAGATCCCGATGGAGCGCAACTCGCTGTTAATCAAGACTAGGTTGCTTAAACCAAACAATACTGGGACCGGTTCGGATGTTCTCTTCCGACCCTTGAGTTGTGGTCATGCCTAGCGGACCAGTTAAAAGACACCAGTATTTTGGTGTAATCAGACACTTCTGTCGGCTCTAAAGAATTTCAGTGACTAATAGGATCCACGACCATAATCCGTGGTCCCTGCAAGAGGGGTTCTTTTTAAGAGGATTTAATTCTGGGAAAAAATGGAGATTGGAAGATGCGGTTTTAGTGTGAGGATGCCGCTTTGAAGAGAAATCACGATATCGACACTGTGTGTCCCCCGCAACACATGGTAGGCTCGAAAATTGCAACAAAGTTATTACCAAATAAAATCTACCTCGGTCACTTTGTAAGCTTCCTCCGCAGTGCACTCCGATTTCGATGTGGGATTGCTCAGTGCAAAGATAATGGGTCGATTCGAGTTGACCGTCATTTGTTTGAGGATCTCAGTGGTGAACAAACCAGTCTGACCAGATGCACCTTGAGAAAGGTAGAAAAATGCTAAAATCTTCGTGGCCCCACCCATATATGGTACGGTTTAATCACTGTCGAGGGAGACAACCAAACCTAAACTTGGCCATTTTGCTTCCACTCATTTAGCGACAGTCTTAACAAGTAAGCCAAAAGTTGACTGATTATTAAGTTAGCAAGTGGTGCAACTCGTAATAGGCATACCAAGGAAGACGGCACTATCGAAAAGTATCAAGAAAAAATGAACATGAGTCTGTTCT